AAAAAAAAAAAAAAAAAAAAAACAAACTATCAAGTCATACAGAGCCCAGGGGCTCCTGTTAACAGTTCCAGCTACTCGAGGGGTGGAGGCAGAATTGTTTCTTTTTCTCCCTTATATTGTCCGCCGGCTGCCCACACCATCTCCTGCCCTGCTCTGGCACAGCCTCAGGATATTCACTAAGTGAGGACCCTGGGCCCCTGCTGAGTCACTTAGGTAAACTTCTAAACTTCTCAAGTTGACACAGTATATCATGGGCCTATTCTCCCTTGGACCCCACAGCCCCTGAAAACCAACACACGGTCAATGCTGCCTTTGTTGCCCAGTCTGCCTCTGACATTCGGGAAAAAATTCAAAAGGTCAATGGCTTTGCTGGCACAAATGCCACGCAACTATTTCAGATCGCCCAAAAGGTTTTTGTAAACTGTGTAAAAAAGAAAAGAAAGAACAAGGACGTGAGGCAGATCACAGCACCCAGCAGAAAGCTGTTCTCCTGCCTGCGATGCTAGGAAAGCGTGTTCCTGCAGTACCTCGTCAGGGCCAGTCCCACGTGGCAGCCCACATGAGGGTGCCCACAAGCCACCATCCTAGAACTGGGGGCCGAGCTTAGGCCCTAGCAGCGGACAATGTGCTTGCTGTAGACAATTTGGACACTGTACGCGCTCCATCTGTGGCCCAAAAAGAAACCTGACCATCTGGAGCCACCCCAGTTTGCATCTCTTCTCCCCCACTTTCATGTCAAGGAATAGGATAGGCTGGGCTCCGTGAGACTGGGTCCCCAGGAGCCCGTGGTCGTTGCCCAAATGGGAGGAAAACCTATGATTTTTTTACAGTGGACAGGGCAGCTGAATACTCAGCTATAGCTCAGCCGGACTCTCTTTTGACCTCCTGGCAAGTCCAAGTGTGGGCGCCAGGGGAGCTCCTCTGAAAAGAACTTCTGTCAGAGCAGGTCCTGCGACGGCGTTGGCGGACACTTTATCAAACACGAATTCGTGTACTCGCCTCGGTGTCCTATTCCTCTCCTGGGATGTGACCGCCTATCCAAGGGACAGGGACCATTCCTCTCCCTCCAAACCAGCCTGCTTCCCTCTCGCTTAGGTTCGCAGGTTCAGACTTGATATTAGCTCTGACTGTAACCGAAAAGAAGAACGGCGCCTGCACACGCCTGACCAACATGAGCAGAGGTCTGACAGACCTGTTTCCAGCATTGCGGGCGGAGGACGGACGCGCCTTTGGGGCTTGCAATCAGTCACGCCCCCGGGGACCAACTTCCGTCCCACTGCAGAGCCTGCTGCTGCGAAGCAGCGCCCCGTGCCGAGAAGCCCTCGTCCGCCATCTGCTGGCTGCAGGCTATACAGTCTCCTGGAAAAAGGCCCGAATTTGTCAACAAAAATTGTGCGGTATCTGAGGTTTGACTTAGAAAAGGACTCAGGCACCTGGACCCTGAGACCTCGAGAAATCATTTGTTCCGTTGCAAGGCCTGAAAATAAAAGACAGCTTGGAGAACTCCTGGAGGCTGCAGGCTTCTGTCCAATTTGGATACCGGGGTTCACGGAAAAGGCTAAGCCTCTATATGCTACGCTGACTAGAAAAGCAAACACAGGAGCCACTTGACAGGACCTTAGAACAAACTGGATCCGCCCACAGCAAAGAACTAGGGAGCGCTGTCAGCCGCCCCAGGGCTAGGAATTCCTGATGCGGCCAGGCCCCTTAGCCTGGCTGTTAATGAACAGAGGCACATAGCCTCAGGGTTCCAAGACAGGCTCAGTCCTCAGAAAGACCTACCATACTCAACAAAAAGCCTGGTCTCCGTGCCAAGGGCTGGCTTCCTTGCCGGAGGGCCTGAGTGGCAACTGCCCTCTTGATCAAAGAAGCTGAAAAATTAACCCTGGGCCAAAATATGACCATCCACATTCCACATACAATTCTATGTTATTAAATAGCCCAGGACACCCCTGGCTTACAAACAGCAGAGTTACTCAATGCCATGGACTGCTTTGTGAAAATTCCCGGCTCACTTTCCAACTTTTTTTCCTTTAGTACCAAGAATCGAACTCAGTACCTTGCACTTGCTAGGAAGTTACCTGAACTTCACTCTGAACCCAACCACCTTCTTGCCCACTGAGCTTGGCCCGCCAACTGTGACTGCCTCGCTTTGACTGACAGCTTTTTCTAGCCAGCTGGATCTGCAGATGAAGTCCTTGTCAAGAGGCTCAGTCGGGGCCAGGGAGATGGCTCAGTAGAATAAACACTTTTCTGGCAAGCACAAGGGCCCGAGTTCAATCCCCAGTTCCGCAGAAATAAAAAAGGGGTGAGCTAGGGCCAGGGAGATGACTCAGTAGAATAAGTACTTGCTTGGCAAGCACAAGAGCTTGAGTTCAATCCCTGGTTCTGCAAAAAAAAAAAAAAGAAAGAAAATCCTGGCTGAGCCTCTTCCCCCAAACTGGTATGCCCTGTGGGCTGAACTGTGGGCCTTCATACAAGCTCTCAGCTGGGCTAAAGGCAAAGAGGTGAACAGTTCCTTTGATTCAAGGCATGCTTCCACTACTGTCCACATCCACGGGATGCTATACGAGGCATATGGACTCCTCAAAGTAGAAGGAAAACAAATTAAAAAGGATTCATTTTTCCAGCTCCTCAATGCAATCTGAAAAACAATAAAGGTCACCATTCTCCACTGTAAAGAACACTGAAAGGTAAAGGATGAGGATTCTGGGTGGCTCAATGCATTTCCCACTAGAGTAGAAAAAGCCAGTGAAGTCTGTAGAGCATTACTAAGGAAAATGATCCCTTAGGTATGGGCTGCCCCTAACCATAGGCAGTGATAATGGTCCTGCACATGTAACAGAAATAACCCAGAAGTTGACTAGAGAATTAAAAATCAGATGAAATTTATACACAGGATACAGGCCTCACCCCAGGGCATGCTGAGACAGCAATTGAGACTGGGCAAGGTGGTGGCGCGCGCCTGTAATCCCAGCTCTTGGGAGGTTGTAAACAGGAGAATCACTACGAGTCCGATCTAGTAGTGAGAACCTGAGCACCCTGTAGACACTTGCCTAAAATACAGAAGAAAAAAAAAAGTCTGGTGTTCTTAGGGAAACCTCCGAAGTTTGTGAGAACGGATAAACCAGCAGTCCAGGCAGACAGGATCCTAATGGTGGAGCTCCCTGGGAAACTGGGGGCCACAGCTGGGTCTCTGTTAGGACCACTGACAGGCTTCCTGCTCATACTTAATAGGACCTTGCTTATTAAATTTGTTCACCTCATTTATTAAAAAGCAAACAAACCATATTAGCTTTCAAATGACCCTCAGGTCTGGTACCTCCTATAGTCTTAAATAACAACATCTCTGAAAATGATTCTTCTGATTAACTGAAAGAAGGGGAAATGAAAAAGAAATTAAAATTTTAAATAAAGCCTGCCAAGAATGCCTGTCAAAACTAGATGAAAATGTCCAGAAAAGCCTGCTAACAGGACAATTCTTCCTTTGGGAAGGATCCCAGTGAGACCCACCAGTGTAACAAACTGCCTCCTAAACCTTCTCAGGGCTGTTTCTTCCTATGTTTGGCCTGTTTCCTGTAATGAAGAGAGGAATACAGAACATGCTCTTAATGGTAGCAGTTCTGAGCTAAGGTCCTGAAGTGCTCCTGCCCTGTGTCCCCTTGCTGGTCTCTGATTATTTCACTCTTATGCATAAGAATGTGCCCTGCAAAGCTGAGCGTACTGGCGCACACCTGTAATCCCAGCACTTAGGAGGCTGAGGCAGGAGGATTGCAAGTTTGAGCCCAGCCTGGGAAATTTAGCAAAATCCAGGGCCAGTGAGATAGCTCAGTGGCCTAAAGCGCCTGCTTAGGCAAGTTTAGGCAAGCCCAGGACCAATGTTTGATCCCTGGCCTCACATGCTGTGCCAGCCCCACCCCCAGAGTGAGCTGAGCCAGCCACAGAAAGAAAAGAAAAGGGGGGGGGGGAGAGAGAGAGAGAGAGAGAGAGAGAGAGAGAGAGAGAGATTGATTTAGCAAAAACCTGTCACAGAAGAAGAAAATTGTTTTTAAGTGCTGCAGAAGTTGTTCAGTGTAAAGGCCTTGGGATCAGTCCCGAGTAGTGTCTCCCCTCGGTAATGGAACTCCTACTAGTGCATTTGGCTTCTCGGAGGATTTTGTTTATCTGAAGCAAATCTCATTTCCACAGCGCAGAATGCACTGAAACTCATGACAGTGTCAACCACAGGCCCTGACGGAAGCCCCTTAAAATGCGTATAGCTTATGTCACATTTTTAAACCTATAATGCATCTGGGTAGT